ATATATATATATATATATATATATATATATATATTTTTTCTTAAAATTGATATTCCGATGAAAAATAGAGAAGAATGGTTTGACAAAAATATGTATATTTTTATATATTAAATAATTATATTATTTAATACAATATAAAAAAATAAAAGATAAGTAATTATCTTCTATTTTTGAATTATATTTTTTTTTAAGATTGTATTAAATAATTTAAACTCTTTAAAAGTTTAAAATAAAAGAGAATTTTAGATTTTTCACATATGAGAACATACGCACTGTTACATGACATACTTTTCTATCATAAAAAAAAACACTCATCAAAAGTATAACAATATTCAAGAAATAATATCATATTTTCCTCATATTTTGTCATCTTTTATCACCTTTGTAACATCAGTTATCAACTAATTATACAAATTTAAAATAACATCTTGTAGGAATTCTACACTTTCTAAAACTCTAAATCACATCTACACTTTCTAAATCACATAATACAGCTGTATTTATGAATATCTTGATCAAAGAGTAAATGCTTTTTTATTATTTATCAGATAAAAAAAATTCCCAAGAAAAAAGAAAAAAAAAACTAAGAGCTAGCGGGTAATATATCTTTTTGTTACTAATAGATATCAAAAATCTCCTTAAGCAAAGTTACATTCTTTCGTGAATTATGCTCAAAAAACATAAATAAAAAGTTTAAGAAATTCCAATTCTCCGGATAGAAGATGCTACTTGCAGGACATCCGACAAACCGGACCAATCATCTTCTTACATTAATTCCTCAGACCCAATCCTCAACTGATTCTTCTTTGCTGTTAAAACGATTAGCCTCGAAACAAGAAGTAAAACTTGAAGCAGTTTGCTTTCAGTGCTTCTTGGAAGTGGTTGTTTTTTCATCCTAGTGAATCTTCTTTAATGAATGCCAAAAACACTTCGGCTTCGAGTAAAGAATAACAATTAACACGTTTTTTTTTTTCGCAAAAAAACTGGTGTTTTCTTATGGAAATTTTGGAGATTAACGCTTTAAGGAAGGTGAGGTTTATATTAATTATTCTTTATTTTAATTTTATTTTAACCTTTTTTATAATTTTATTTTAAAATTTGATTTTTCAGTTTACGATTTAGTTTTGTTCGTATAAAATACTCCAAATATTTTTTGAAAAACATTTTTGAAAGTAACTTAAATTGAAGATTTCTGAACAGTTTATTTTTTGAACAACCTTTTTTTATTAATTTAGGGAATACATGTGTTGTGACTTATTAAATTTTTACATTTTTCATTAATCATTAATTTCATAGCTATTTTAAAATTCGCAAAGAAATGTTTTTAATTGGAACTGCGATACTAATAACCAACTCATTTGAAAAATTTTTAAGCTGCATATTTGTTGGAGAACACTTTTCTTAAAATTACTATGAAAATAGGAATAAAAAGCCCTAAAATACGGTTAAAATAAATTTTTGTCCACTAACCTATCTCAAAACAAAAACAAAAAATATATCGAATTAAAATTAAAAAAAGAAACTCTTATTTTTTAATAAAGTTGTTTTTAATATTTTGTATTGAATACTATAGCTGAGACAAATCTTTGTCATTTAATATACAAAATAATGGAATTTTATCACATTTTTATTTGTCTTAAAATATTTAAGTGGATAACCATTTTGAGGCAACAATGACGAATATTGGATATAATTTGAAAAATGTTTCAAAATTGACTTAAATACAACACAATTTTTATGGGCTGATGAAATTAAAAATGAAGGACAAAAAATCCGTTTACAGTTTCTTTTTACGGGAATTACAACTTTTCAGCAATGCAATTTGTTATAAATATGCACGTAATTCATATAATTCTTGTTAGCCAAAGTGGTAAATAAAGTGAGATAATCTCCCTAATTCCTTTAATCCATTTCCTATTTATCAATCAGTATATTCCTTGTAAATGTTAAATGGGCTTTAAAAGAATTTAGATTCTTAAAATTAATGTATGTAGTGTTCATATTTCTTATCGATCTTTCTCTGGTCAGGTTATAAAAATTATTCACAATGTTAGATTGATGTCAAGCATTAAAAATATTAATAGATTTATGTGTATTCTTTCATTCAGAAGCAACTAATTACTTCATTTTTTAGCACTAGCTTAGCTGTATAGAAAAAAATTAAACGTATCGCAGATATTTTTGTGGCTATTAGTCTAAGAAAGTTATAATAGCTTTGAATTATTTCCTAATCTACAACCAATTAACTATATAATGGCTTATTAACCAATTAATGTTCTAGATTTATATTTTACGAAACATTTTGTATATTAATATTATATATTCTGATGCAGCTTGATTCAATAATAAGGTTAAAAATATTTTAATTTAAATAATAAACATCTGCAACAAAATCAGAAAGCACATTAAATTGATTTAATTTAAAGTAATACGCTTTCAATATTTCTTTTTATATTGAAAGCGTATAATTTTAAAAAAATTAAATCATTTATTTATTTAGTTATTACAAAAATATTTTAACTACCACTCCCGAAAAAAAAGTTAAAGATTACATTTTTACTATTAAAAAAAACTATTTCACACGTCCCTTAAAATTTTCTTTTCAAATCTTGTAAGGGA